CTTAATAGGACATAGTGGCAAGAGTAATTATTGGAGGAAGGAGTACTGTTTTTCTATTTACACTCTATTGTAATTAACTATTTACTTATCTGGCTTCCCCATTATCCTAAGGAGTAACACATACTGATTGTCAATCTTGGCTGTACATAAGAATCACCTTGGAAACAGTTTGAAAATACAAAGGCTGATATAACTGGCCTAGAGGATTAAGCTTAGACATTAATATTATTTCAAAGCTCCATGATGATTCTGATGCAAAGCCTGAGTTAAGAATCACTGGTACTTGTAGCACAAGCTCTAGCACATAATAGGTATCAGAGAAATATTACTTAGTCATCATAAATGACATCATGAATGTTTTCTCTGTGAAATAAATAGTCCAGATTTTGACCTTCACAGCTATGCCATCTTTTACTGAAGAACTTAATAAAACAATTTACCTGTTATAGATGAATACCATGCATACCTGTGCTGAGTTAGACTATAGTATTTAGTTATCAACTCTTTAAAAAATGACATTTGGAACCAGTCATTGCAAACATTTAAATGCAGTTTAATTTTTTCACAGTAGAATCTCTAGCAAATCAGTGAGTTTTCATGCTATGTGTCAACCAATATCATTCTGTATCTTTAATCAATGATAAGTTTGAGATGGAGCAGAAAAATGTGTCTGTTACCTTATAATTGTGTTTAAGCAAAAGTGTGTGTTGTACCTGTGCATAGTCAAAAAAAGATTTTTTTTATCACAATTGTGCAAATTTTAACTCTGCTGTTTCTAGAAGTCCATTTTTTTTCCCAATACACATTACTGGGTACATATTGAATATGTCATGTTCAGTGGTTAACTGTATATGATTGATTCACTTTACTTTTGAACTGAAGTTCATCATTGGATATGTTTTGTATGAAAGTCAAGTGAGATAGTTTTTCCATGAATTATCTTCTATCTTAACTCTCCACTGAATCTGTATCTCTTTTTTAAAAATTCCAATGAAAGATTCTACAAAATAAGATTTGATCAGGAGCTGGGGAGGAATCTCTCTTCTTATATATAATGGTACGAGAATATTTACAATGATTCTATGTTGTTTACGACAGGCCTCACTAGATGAATTACAGAAAAGGAATTGAACAAATTGGTGATATAAGCTATATATTCTCTGATAAAGTTAAAATTTTTAATCGACTTTTATATTTTTACTTAATTCTCATAGTCAGAAGTTTTATAAGAACAGGGACTATAACGCTCAACTTCTATCATTGATGAACCCACTGCATTTAATTGGCATCTAATTAAATGTGTATTTAATTTAAAAAATGAATGAGTAACAGAAAACTGTCCAAAGATTGGCATGGTGGAAAGACTCCAATAAGCCTGAGAAATCAACATCTAATAAAAAAATTTAAAGGTACGGTGGATGCTGATCCCTAAATGGGATTATAGGTCAAAATTATCTGGGAAAGTTTTTTAAAAAAATAAAATATTATGCCCAAATCTTATTTCTTAAAACAGAATCTTGGAGATGGTAGTGGGGGAAGAAATGATGGCAATGAATCTCTCAAGTGATTCTTCTGTAGCCAACTGAGCAGAAGTCTGTGGTCAAGCATTTGGAAGACACTCTATGATGGAATGTACACTGGACAAAGAGTTAAGATTTGAGTTCTAATCAAACCTCTGCCACTAAATTATCTAGGACAATTTACTTAACCTTGACAAATTTCAGTCTCCTTAATGAAGGTCTTCATTTCTAGATAATTTTTCCAGTGCTTTGTAAGGTCCATTTGTACCTAATACATAATGATTTTGTTAGTTTCATCTTTCATGACTCCCTAAAGCAAACCTCTAATAGAGGAGTAAATAGGTACTATGTTATTGTATTTTAATCAATAAAATTATTAAAATAAGAAAAAAAAAGCTGTATCCAAAAAAAAAAAAATTCCTAGTGCAGGACTAAACTATGTGTTGCACCAGGATTTTGTGCACCTGTATACAAGTCTTTATATGTGTCTATCACCTAGGTCATATCCATCGATGGTCAACAAATTAGAAAACTCTGTTGCTCATTGGTTCTTACCATCTCAAAAGTATGTTACCCTCCCCCAAAGCTATCTGCTCTTAAACATTAGTACAAGAGATTTTCAAAAGCATAGTTTATTATCTTCCCAATCTTCTCAAGCACCATATTGATGTTCTAATAATTTCTCTTAATCAGAGAGTAACAGTGTCTAGATCAGCAAAATTTTTAATTTCCTAATTTAAATTTTAATTGGCTTTAGTCATTACATGTATATGCCGTGTTTATGCCTAGATCTGTATTCCCATATCTAACAGTACTTAACTGAAATGCTTGGTGTCTGGCACAAAAGAGAAATTCAAGAAATATTGTTGGATTAATAAAAGGAACAAGAAAAGAAGGGAAGGAGAAATGAGAGAAAGAGAAAAATTTGGCTCATTTTAATGGGAATAATAGAGTTTTCCAAGTGGGTGGGCACCACATAATTCATTTCCATTAGCTTATGATTCTTCCATAGGAATTGTGTTGGAGCATGTAGAATTCCCTTGAATGTGAAAACACATGACATTTAGCAAAAGAACCTTCAGAATTAATTCTGAAAGGAATAGCTCACCTTTTTTTAAGCAGAGGTTTTCATTGACTGGTTTTCCCTCTTTGTTGACATCTATTTTCATCCAGCTATGGAGGTATTTCCTGCCTCTCTTGACCACTGCTTTGTTGCCTTGTTTCTTGAGAAAGAAAGAAGTATTTTCCACCTCAAGGTACCCTTCCTTCTCATAGCAAGTCCATCGGGGTGCCTGGGAGCACTGGACAAAAATGGCTGATCGGGAAGGTCCACCAGAGGAATTGGAGATGCCCAAGCATAGTGCAGATTTTATATGAAGAAGCTTTCCATCCTCAGTCCACATCCACTGCTGGTTTTGGTTGGTCCCATTGCACGAGCCCATGAACACTATATTATTTTCAAAAAGGCACTGTCGCTTCTGGATATGTACAATCTGAAACCCCTCTGGAAGATGAAAAGCTCATATAGTACCATGTAACAAATTACAAGGCCTCTCAGAAAACAAAACAACCTATCCACAGATCAGCCAAGTAAAAAATATGAGGTTTACTTATCTTTTGCTACTGCTTTTAAGTGAATATTCCCAGAGTCAACACATGTGACTTAAAATCTCAAGGTCGACGATATAAAATTGTCAAATGTCACACTTAATGCACTTTTTTTTTTTTTTTTACTTTCACATGGTTTAGGGAAGAAAACACACCTCCACTGAAATCATGAAAGGAAACGTGAAAAAGAAACAAAAGTTTCCGAAGACTACAGTGTGACATTTTAGTACAATTAGTTAAATATGTTGAAGTTATGAAAAGCTCAGTTCTCTTTTTAACCATTTACTCCTTTCATCTCACCTCCACTTTAAAAACCACCCCTTTTTGCAATCTTTAAGTTATCATTGCAATAAATATTTGTATATAGATTACATAGATTGGATGCAAATTTTAAAATTGCTTGCATTCACCCCAGAATAAAACAACTTTCCCACCCTTCTAAGCACACCCTTCTAGCTGACGGCAACCAATAAAAGTATTGATTATTACAAAATAAGTTTCTTATAGTTCTAGAGAGAAGCATTTCTCTATTTCGTGACAATATCTACAATTTTTGCTCGAATACTACCAGATTAAAATATCAGCATTTCTTGATGTAAGAAAATTAAATACTGTTAATTTGTTAAACATCAGTATTGAAAGTGAGATATTCAGGCTTAGAAACCATTTTCAATGTGCTTTCACTTAATTTGTCCAGCTCTTCCATGAAAATATTCAGACCTTCCTGCCAAATAACAACTTCCAAATAAAACACACCACAATTCTTCATCCTCTTTAATTACATCTCTTATATTTTTCTTTAGCTCTCACACATAAAACACAAAATCATAACCTAATTGAAAAAAAGCATGGAGAATGCCCCAGACTGTCATATAATAAGATCTCTTTCCTCAGGACACTTTACTCTTTGCTGTAAAGGTGCCATTTCAGGAGTGCCCTAAGCATTTGGAGGACATGAGGAGGCTGTTTATTTTCTTTTGGAGAGAAATTTCAACAGTGTGGGCAAAGCTGGCTCCTTTATTCCCCCTCCTCATCTTCTGCCGTGGCTCCATTTCCACCTTATTTTCAAAGGACAGACTTTCCTCTGCTGGCTATAGGAAAAATTAATGCCTGGGGACATTGAGGCAGGTTCACTCACCTGAGTTCCCGAAGATCAAGCAGGTAAGAATTGCCATGTAAAATTCAGCCTCCATTTTCCACTTAACAACTGTTCATGTTTCGCTTGGAGAAAAAAAAAAAATCTCCCAGATAGGAGAAGCAAAGACTAGGGAAGGAAATGTGCCTTCATGGTGGGGGGAAAAGTCAGTGACGAGCACTTCCTCCTATTGAATTGTTTGGGGAAGTTTTACACCAGTGTCCTTTGTCTGTTTCCTTAGAAAGGAGGGATTATGATTACCTCTCTTTTTTATGTAGAAAAATTCCAACCTCCAGGAGCAGAACGAAATTCTGTTAAGTTTTCTCCTATCATCTCTTTGGCACGTGACTACTTCTTAACTTCAAGGGGGAAGAAAGGAATTATAATCTTAGATAATTGAATGTTCCTACAATGTTACATCTCTTCAGGTGATGAGATTCTGCTGAATAAACACAAGCCATGTGATTTATGAGCGTCTATAACAAGTGATATAAAGGCATAAACATGTACTGTTCCTATAATGATATGCTGGGAATCTAATGAGGAAAACTACATAATGATGGCACTTCTAGACCATTATTTCTCAAATGATGACAATAGGTATTACATTTGAGATAGTCATCTCCACTGGGGGGAAGCAGAGATTAATATTAAACCCATCACATATCTCCTTCAGACTTCCCCCAAAAGATAATAGCCTCTCTCCAAATAGGAAAAAAAAAAAATACATGCTTTCCTCAATTTTTAGTATTAAGAGTAGTTTATTGGCAGTATGAAACAAAGTCAACATAACTGCATTAAAAATTCATATTTGAGCAGAACATCTAGTGTTTGCTGAGTGTAGTTTTTTTTTTTTTAACTTTGTCTCTTGAGAATTAAAACCTTTCAGAAATTTAAGGATCTCCATGGCAGCATCCTTTTGAAGAATCTCTGGAAATGCAACAAATTACACCATTCCCAAAAGCAACTGCCTTTTATTGGGTGAGAGATTCCAGGTAGACAACATATTCAAAAATCTTCTTCTTAGTAAAAGAGAGACAAATATTTAAAATTCTTGATACATCACAGTTGCTACAAATTTGTTTTTCCTTTTTAAAATAAAATGACTCACAATGTAGAAATACAGTGGATAGAGTTCTGGAGCAGAAACCATCTCTTCGCCCAATAATAGATAATAAATACATATATACCCAGTGACAATCGTTGTGCTCTGTAATTGATTTATAGGAGGTATTGATAAATACACATTTAATAGTTAATATTATTAAGACACATTTCCATATAAAATAGTTACTGCTTTTGATTTTTTTCAAAAACAAGGACTTATTTATTAAAAATCCATTATCGATCACTTGCAACTTTAGTGGCAAGATTCTGGTAACTGAGAAAGGTAATAGCACTTAAAACAAGAACAGTGTTACAGCTGATAGTCCATTCACAAGACAGATTTTGCAAACATTAAAGCGTCTAAACACAATAATAATTTCTTCAGCAGCTTTTCCAGTTGTCATCTGATGACATGTATCACTGAGTATTTCATACATACATTCTGTGTGGCAGATAATCAATACAGGCAAAACAAAATCCTCCTTAGCTGTGTGAGAAATATATCATACCTCCATCAGCATAGGACCTTCAAAACAATTTAGAGATGCTTACAAGTGCATTCATATACACGAGGGGCTGGCAATCTTTAATATGTTGCCATCTTCCACAGTCCATGCCACGGCTTGGCTTCAGGGCTTCTCTTTCCTTCTGTTGCAGGAAGCTCCTGCTAGAAGCCTCAAGTGGGTAATTGATTAATCACCCCTAGAGATTGATGGTCTGGTGAATCTTCAGAGAATCATTGGACAGTTTCTCCCGAAAGTCTGCTCTCGTACAGGCATAGAGCATGATGAACAAATTCATACTGTTCACTGGTTTGGACCATCCCACCCCTGTAAGGGAGAGATAATACAGCAACTTTTTACTGCTAACACCTTGCAATCTCAAATCACACAGAGACCACATCCAAGCTAAGGCGTTATGTCAAAGACACACAGAACAGGCAGCCTGGTGATTTCTTTTGTTATCCCTCTTACCTGTGTCCAAATGACCAAACTGGTGAATTTAATACACTAATGTATATACAGGGATTAACACACAGCCTGCTACACGCTAGGTACTTGATTAATTTTACCTACACATAGCCTCATGGTTAAATACTTGGACTTTGAAACCAGCCAGGCTGTCTTAGTTCAAATCTCTTCTTTGCCAGTTCCTGGTTGTGTGATCATGGGCAAATTCCTTAAAACCCTTTGTGCCTCAGTTTCCCCCTTTTTTAAAGTGGGATAACAGCACCTGTTTCATGGGATTGCTGTGAGGGTTAAATGAACTCAATGAGTTAATTAAATGAATATCTGGAAGGTTAGTATTACTTCTCAGGTGATTTATCATTCATCTTACGTTAAAATGAATTAAAATTAATCAAAGTAGGTTTTTAACTAACAAAATTCATCCGTGAAAAGTTGCTCTTTCTACAAGTGAAAAAGAACAACTTCCTTGGAATGGTCTGAGTCTGTTATGTGGAAACGACCTCAGCCTTTGAGTGGAGTATGCTGGATATCTAAATACAATAGTGGGTGGGTCCTTAATTGAGTTGGAAAAAGGGAATCGGCTCTTGCTCTTCCCCCTTTGTTATTATCATCATCATCACTAGTTCCTCAGCATACCTTTTGTTATCGGATTAGTAGAAGGTAGCTGCCTTCATGAGAAATAATGATGCTTCTCGTTATACTTTTATATATAAAACAGTGATCTCACATTTTGCTCTTTATAATAATGGTCTGGTACTTGGCAAAGCTACTAGATAGTAGTATAAATGCTACTTATTTTTCCTGTTCACCGAATAACAGTACCATTGTTAGTAATTATTTGAAGTCTTATAAAGTCTCCATAACTCTGCAATTATGCAACTAATTTTGAACTGATGTTTTAGCTAGTTCTTCCTAGGGCTGTTGTTGCCATTTAAAATTATTATTTTTAAGTCATGTAAGCACTTCAACTTAAAAACAAAGTATATTGCCTCACTGTAACATGATTTCTGGTTAATGATAATAACTAAAACTGGGCTTGTATCTATATTCACTTGTCAACCCCTATAAATATAAGCTTACAGGATATTATTAAGATATTAAGACTTCACCCTTCTAAACTAAACTAAACAGGTCGACATGATGCCAAAATGGTGCATTTGGTAAGCAATAAAGAGGTAAATACACAGTTTTTGGTGACGGCACATTTTTGGCAGAAGTATTTCATCAGTTTTTTCCCCTAAATCTGTAGTGAAGACAACTTTCTGGCCTAGGGTTCCTTGGACGTAAGTTGACAACAGAAATGGCCAAGTGAGAATGTGGTAACTTTTCCTCTTGGCTGGATGATGACATCTGGGCACACCTAAGAACATAGCAGCTGTCCAGAAAATTCTGGCCTTAACTGTGGAGCGTGGGAGATACAGCCAGAGTAAATTTTAGGGCAGCCTTAGAGAGCCGAGAGGTGCCTCCCTTCCTCAGGCATTCTTACAACTCAGGGAACCCTAAGTCCTCCCCCTTGATCTGCAGACGGTATGTGGAGCCTTTTATGTATTTTATCTCATGTGCTCCAGCCTGTGAACTTCTTACCTTACTTTGAGGCAAGAATTTCTTTTTCTTGTCTGTTCTGAGAAACACAAGTATTTACATTTACAAGTGATGAATAAACAGAGACACAGTCTATATTTTTATAACCATTTTGCCCCAAACGGTCAGCAATGTATTTTAATGTTTGGAGTATACTTTCTATGACATTTTTTTAACTAAGTCAAGGTTGTCTCAACCAGTGAAGGTGGGGAAGATGAGGCAACAAACTCATTAGTTGTAGGCCAGAAAAATTCTTGCACGTCTGAAGTCTTAAGAAAGGTATGTGAAAAATTACGTTATTTCTCACTCAATTTAAAAAATAAAAATTAAAAAATTAACATCAAAGAGATTCTCAGAGATCATTCATTTTAATTGCTGACACGACATAGCCTTTCTAGAAGGGAGCAGTCTACATGGCAGATGGTCAGCCAGTTTCTACTGCAATGCTCACAGGATGAGATATTTTCAGAGGCAGACTTTCCCAAAGTCGGTAGAAAACTTTTGAACAGATTAAAATGAATCTGCTCTTTTCTAACTTTCACCTCATTGGTTGAACTAAATAACCTAAAAAAGTCTTAAGTCTCCTCTCGTAGTCACACAATAGCCTTCTAAATGCTGGAAAACAACCATCAAAGTCCCATAATCTTTTCTTCTCTAGACTAAACATCCTGTGATTACTCAATATTCTATCCAGCCTGGTTTCCCTGTTACTCACAAGTCTAGTCTTCCTCTTCTATAGGCTATTTTATCAAATATGACCTTCTTAGCATGTTGTGTCTACTTTGGATGAAATCTAGTCAGTGGGAACATTTTTTCCCTTGAGCTGTACGTTATTGGCCAATGAGTTAGCATTTGCAGGTGTGTCAGATGGTAATATCCCACAGTGACCACCTGGTTTCTGGAACTTAGCAAGCATTTTAGAATATTGAGTAAAGGTTTAGGTTAATGAAAAAGTGCGGGATTTTTTGAATGTTAAAATTACAGCTCTCTCTTATCTGAACTTGTGATACTGCATTTTTGAAACTAAATGAAGGGTTTTCTATTTATTCCTATTAATTTCAACATCTTGCTTTTAGCACAATGTTCTCATTTACTGATGTCGCTATTTCTATCATTAAATATATTAGCCTTCCATTTCTCACTCCCAGCTTTGTGTCTTCCAGATATTTAACAAGCTTGCTCTATATATTTTTTCATTTGTCATTTATAAAGGAGTAGAAAAAGACAGAACCAAGGTAGAGTCTTTGCCATAAGTTATTTAGTAGCATGTTATGTACCATCTAATTCCATCCCCAAATTGTTTCCAACTAGGTTATAGGTCCCTTAAGGGCAAGCATGATGTCATAATCTTCTCATATTTGCGACAGTGAAAAGCACAAGTCCTAATTAAATATCTATCAAGTAGGTGATCCAGGCTATGTCATTTTTATGTCCCATGACAATAGATAAGTTCCAAGCTAAAAGAAGGCAAAGGGCTTCCCATAATGCATTCACTGGAGGCTGATTCAAATTCAGGAACTCATCATTATCATCTTTGAAAATATTTAATAACCGTCTACTTGCATATATTTGTATATAGAATACTCTGTTGACCTTTGTAAGAACTTAAAATCTAAAATTACCTGGAGATTTTACTCTATTATGGGACAAATGCAGTTTTTTTTATAGGTTGGTTGTCGTAAAGAAAAAAAAAAAATATATGTATGTATCCAACAAGCTAATATTGTACCTGTATACAAAATATATTTATGGAATAAATGAATAGTGTTAGATTAATTATGGAACTCTTAGGAGAACCCTGTAATAGTGCATCCTCCAAGAGAGCTCTGACTTGACTCCCAGGAATCTTTCAGTCAGAGAGGGCTCCATGGATTTGCTGAAGTCTGGATCTAAATCACTGATGTAAAATTCCTGGTATAAGTTGGTCCTCAAAGATAATAGCAAGGATGCTCTTTGTTTGTTTGTTTGTTTTACTTTTAAAGGTAACATCTAGCTCCCTTTTAAAAATTAGGTACTAAAATAATCCTTGACGTCCAATAGATTATAGTTTAAACTCAACCAAGGTTAACATTTTAAAAGATTTCCATGTTGATTAAGATGATGCTTCAGTGGAGAAGACTTATGGGGTCCAAAACAGCTGGACCATCATCAGTCAGGCAGTGTGCCTGACATCATCACCATTACTCAATACATTGTAGCAAGGATCGTCCCTCCTGGAGAATCCTCTTTAGGTACAAATCTATTTTCCCAGGAAATATAACACACTAGGGTATGATACCTACTGCCCAGCAAGAGTTAGTTTATCAAAGAAGAGTAAGGTCACGTAAAAACAGGGCATGAGAACTCAGCGGTGAGCATGATCATGGGTTTGAAAAGGTTTGGAATAATAAAGTATCAGGTTCTTTACCAGTAGGGACCAAAATGTGTTAAGAGGAAAAAGACACCATACACTGTTGTCAGGACAAATCCTGTCTCTACCACTTATGAGTTACCTTATTACATAATCTTTACAGTGCTCAGTTTTCTCATCTGCAAAATGATAGTGCTTATCGCATAGCACTGTTGAGAGAAATAAATGGGACAATGTATTTAAAATGGTTAGCACACAGTCAAGCACATACAGACATCGTATTGTTAGCTATTTATACTGCTACTATTACTCTTTGGTGCTATCTGGTCAAACAGAACTGGTTAGAAGGCTCTGGTTTGAGACCTATGAAGGCCTTGGAGAACTAAGAAAACACCTGGCAGAGAATAAAATATTGCCCAGGTTGGGCAAGCATAGATGGAAAGATCCAAATATGTTTCTGAATATTAACCAGCTTAGAAGTTTCCTGTGGTTGAAGCAAGTGATGTTGTTGAAAGAAGTGGGCTTGGAGCCCGACAGATTCAAGTGTGGATCCTTGCTTTTGAACCTACTAGCTTTATGATTTTGGTCAAATCATTTACATTCCCATGTGAGGTTTCTTCACTCATAAAATGACATTAATGATAAACCTCATCTGATTGTGAGAATTAAAAGAGTCAGAGCATATCAGTGTTTAGCTGAAGGCTACTTACAGAAATTCCAGGAGCCCAGGGTTCTGCAGTGGTGCCCGAGGGGCCGTGGCTGGTGCAAGAGGAGGTTGGGCCTTTAGGATTAGCTTCTAATCTCTGCTGTACCACAGCAGTCCTGCTTTTTGTTAGTTTTCCATATTAGTATTTTATGGAAGATTTTGTCTGCCCATTGTTTTGTTTCCCGTTGAAAACCATTGGCCTGGCAAACGGTATTTACCTAATGA